TTCTAGTTTGTTGGGATTTTAAAAATCATTGTCTTAGTTACTTTTCTCTTGTTGCTGAGACAAAATACCTAACACCCAAAGTTAAGGAAAGAAAGGTTTATTTAGATCAGTTTGAGTCCATAATTGGCTGGCTTTGAGGCAGGGTGGCACATGGCAGAGGGGCAACAGTTCATGTCAGTGGAAGACAGCAAAAGCAACAGGAGAGGAGAGAGTGAGAGACAAACCTCTTTCTGTCTCTTATATTGTATGCAAGTTACCTGCCCTAGGGCGGGTGTAGCTCTCACACCCTCAACCTCAGCATTGGACCATGAATCAATCACGAACTCTAGAAGCCTGACTGCCTGAGGCTTTGTGCGTCATCTAGACACAAACTTTAACAATCACGAAAGTCTGTTGGATTTTGTCGAGTGCTTTTTCTGTATCTGTTGAGACTATGTCATGGACTTTCTTTTTAAATTAATATGGTCAATTTATAAAGTTGATTTTTTTGAATGTTAAGCTAAACTTACATTCCTACAACCAACCTTATGTTGGATTTGATTTACTAAATTTTCCTTTAGAAGTTTTGCATCAAGCTTCATGAGGAATATTAGTCTGTCATTTTCTTTCATTCTTGTCTGGCTTTGCTTAAACAGTGAATTGGAGGCTGAGTATGGGGGTGTATGCCTGTAATCCCAGCACTTGGGAGGCTGAGGCAGAAGGATTGCTGTAAGTTCAAGACCAGCCTGCGTTACATAGTGAGCTCAAGGCCAGGCTGAACTGAATAGTGAGACCCTGTCTCAAAAAGACAAAACAAACAAACAAACAAAGAAAAAAACAGTGAATTGGAAAGTGTTCTACTCTTTTCAATTTTTTTGGATGAGTTCATGGGGTGTTGATTTTATTTTTTCCCTAAATACTTGATAGAATTCACTAGGAATGTGATACAGGCCTGGAGTTTCTTTTGTAGAAAGGATTTTACCCACAGAAAGTTAATTTACTGAATTAAGACTATTATGGTTATATACTTCTTCTTAAGTTTTGATAATTTGTGTCTTTTAAGGAATTTGTCTATTTCATATAAGTTGATGAATTTATTAGCATAAAGTTGCTCCTAGTATATATTTAACTTCTGTAGGATTTGTAGTGATGACTTCTCACTCAGTACTGACATCTATAACTTTTCTTTTCTCTTATTCCTTTTTTCTTCTCCTCTCTTCTCTTCTCCTCTCCTTCCCTCCCAGACCCTCCTTTTCCCTTTCCTCTTCTCTCTTTCCCTCTCTTCTTTTGTTTTCTTTTCTCCTAATAAGTGTGTCTTTTATTAATTTTGTTCACCTTTTCAAAGCTTTTAGCTTTACTCCTTTCTCTGTTTTTTGTTTTTTGTTTCACCAGCTCTTCTCTGATCTTTATCTCTGTATCTCTTCTACTTACACTTGGTTTGACTTGCTGTTATTAACTTGAAACCTTTAGTCTCTTCTAATATGGGCTGAGTGCTTTAAATTTTCCCCTGAGTATTGCATTCCATACATTTTTAAAACTGCACTTTCATTTTTGTTTGGTTCAAAATATTTTCTAATTTCTCTTTTTGTTTGTTGAATCATAAGTTTCTTAGATTAATATTATTTATGTTCAAATATTGGGTCATTTTCTAGATACCTATATGTTACTACTTTAATTTAATTTTTGTCACAGCCAGGAAATATATTTTGAAGGATTTGAATCCTTTTACATTTTTCAAGACTTGATTTGTGGCTCATAATATGGTCTATATTGGTAAATACTTCATGTACACTTTAACAGATGGCATATTTTGCTGTTATTTTACAGAAATTTCCATCAATACAGCTAAGTCAATTTGGTTAGTAGTGTTGTTTTCCATTCCTACATCTTTTTTTTTTTTTTTTTGGATACAGGGTCTTGCTATGCAGTTTAGGCTGGTCTTAAACTCACTTTGTAGCCCATGCTGGTCTCAAACTCGAAACAATCCCCCTGCCTCAGCCTCCCAAGTGCTGGGATTACAGGAGTGCACTACCACACCTGGTTTTCATTCCTACATCTTTTATGATTTTCTGTCTACTTATAGTATCAGTTACCAAGAGAGGCATGTTGAAGACTCAACTATTGAGGATGTATCTATTTCCCCTCACAGATCCATCAGCTTATGCTTTGTGTATTAACATTTAGGATTGTATCCTCTTCACTTAGTTGTTATGAAGTGACTTTCTTTATCCCAATGCAGAGCATCTTTTGAACTCCAGGCTGTCTAGTGCTGCCTGATAAGTACTCCAAAACTTAGTGACTTAAACAACAGGTATTTATTACTCTGGTTCCTTGTGAGCCAGAAAACAGAACAGGTTAGTTGAGTCCTCCAGATAGGGGACCTCTCACAAGGTTGAACAATCTCTTTTGCTTTGGGCTTTGATAGGGCTGGGCATTTTAACACAGTAATTAATTCTGAGTTTATTGGAAATTCTGATGTTTTACATTAATTTGCATTTTTAAAAATATTGCATTAAATATTATTTATCTTTTTTTTTTTTTTTTTTTT